GGGGGGGGGGTGTTATGCACAGCCCCCTGCAGGGGGCCCCAGCCTGCACAGAGGAGCCTCGCTGGGAAGGAGGCTTCACGTGGCAAGGCCAGTCCACCCGCCTGCTGCATCCAGGACAAAGCCAGCCCGAAGGGATGGCCGGGTCCTAGGAGTGTTCAAGCCCTCAGCTGCTCCAGCAGGAACCGAGCCAGAGCTGTGACGTGGAGATCCATCAGGAGAGCTTGAGATACAGGAAAGGAACAGAGCTGGGGGCTAGCTCCCCTTTCGGACGGGAAAATGGCCTGGGAGGGGGGCTGTGGGCCTCCAACTCACTCTCACATGCCGCCACCAAGTGGCTGGCAGGGTCTCCATGAGGGTCCGTGGCCAGCACAGTCAGGCTTCCTGCGGGATGATAATTGGAAGTGGAGACGGGGTGCTTTTCCACTCAATTATGCCTTGAAAAAATCCGAAATCAAGCTCCTTATTAAGAGCTAAGCAGAGACATTAGCGCGCTTCCTAATTAGCACGGTCTTTAAAATTGTGCACAATCAGAGGGAGCTGTGGGCATGTGCTCGGGCTCCAGGATGTTTGTGTAAATGAGCGTTTCGCTTTGTGTGGGGTGGGGGCGCTCTTTCCTCCGGAGAAAAGCCAACCTCCAACCCCCCCTCCTGGCAAGGTGAGCTCGGCTGGACGTGTGCAATCGTGTTAGCCTGCCCGCACATCTTCTGCTCCGATGCACGTGTGTGGGGCATGCACGGCACACAGGAATGGGTAGCACACGCGCCTGAGCGGACACACGCATGCCCAGACGCTGGTCTCCATGCTCAGCGCACAGGCACGCCACGGGCACAGGCTAGGTCTCTTGCCAGGGTCTGGCTGCCCTGGGCCCTACTCGGCCGGGGTCCAGGGGGCTGCTTCTGCGGCAGATGGGGGTGGATGCCGCTAGGGCGAGGACAACATGGTGCCCAGATGAGCTCAGAAATCAGGCCGGCAGCAGGGGCGTCGGTGCCACGAACTGCTCAGAACAGAACCAGGCACTGGGCTCTGCTGGGCAGGACGTGGGCCTCAGCCCTGGATGCCCTGGGCTTCGCGGGGGCAGGCGTGCCCAGGGGTTAGGGAAGGGGGTTCATTGCTGGGTCAGAGCTGGCTTCCTGGGGAGTCCCAGAGCACAGCTCCGGAAGTGTCCAGGGCCGCCGGTACAGGGAGAAGCTCTCAGAACAGAGAAAGAATGTTCCAGTGGCCGGAGGTGTGCACGGGTGGGGTGATGAGCTCCTATCACGGGGTGGGTGGCCGGGGTGGGTGGCCGGCTCCGATGGGGAGGGGGCCTACATACAGCCTCTTGTCTTCCCAGGGGAGGTGATCTCCCGGGAACGGCCCGGCCCCCCTGAACTCCCCCCGCGTGACCCTGAGCCGCAGGCCCAGAGCAAACAGCTCCATGTTTGGCCAGCTCTCCTGGCTCCCCACCCCAGCCGGAGCCCAGTGAGCATGAGTCACACCGGCCTAGGGACGGGCGAGCGGATGGGGACGGGGACAGAGTGGGGAGGAGGGCTCCTTGCAGCCTGAGTCTGGCCGGAGGGGAAGCAGCAGGGGCCTGGGGCTCAGAGCAGAGGAACCATTTGGGAGAGGCCAGGGGACAGGCGGGCACAGAGGCTGGCAGGGCCCATGTCAGATTCGGGGGGCGGGTACCGCTGCCCCCCACAGTGGCTGTGGCAGATCCTGTCGCCAAGGTGCTGGGTGAGCCACGTCCAGGGAGTTCTTGATGGGCCGGCAGACCTGTGGTTCCCCAGGGCCCGTGTGGCTGGCTGGGGCAGGGGTCCTGTGTCCCCACGGGTTGCATGAATGGGAGTTGGCCACAGGGAACCAGGGCCCTTCCTGTGCAGCGTGGACGTGTGTGGTGGGGACAGGCTGAAAAGGCCACCGTGTCTCTGACTTGGAAATAGTCTGCCTGCAGGCGCACCTGGCCTGAGCCCCCAGGCCTTCCCCTCATCGTCCCCTTCTTCCCAGACGCTGACAATCTTCGGGACCCCACCCCCTTCCCCCACTTAAAATTCTGCGGTGGTGGCCTAAGGGGTGGGTGGGGAGGCTGGAGACCGGGGCTGTTGGAGGGAGTGAGCTGGGGTGGGGGCCCTTCCCAGAGCCCCCTCCTTACCTTTTCAGCAGCCTGTTGTCATGGCAACAACCTCAGGCGGGAGAGAAACTTCCTTCATGGTGGGATCTGGAGTGGCTGCTTCTCCCTCCTCAGAGAGTCCCACATGTGAGACTGGAGCACGAGGCCTGTGCCCCTGTGGGCGTCAGGGTTGGTGGCACAGAGGCCCTCCTCCAGGAGCCCCGTGGGCATCGTCCGTTCCCACAGCTGTTAGACGAGGTGCCCTGGCATGGTGGCAGGTGCCGGGTAGCTGGCTT